CACACTTTCACCAACGTATCCCAATTAAATTGTCTCTAAAATACTGGCATTACACAGCTGTTACGCATGTCTGTAGTCTGCCACAATTAGCGTTGAGGAAAAATGCCAAGTCATTGCGGGTTGAATGCTTATCAAAATATATTTTGAAGGTCATGCAGTTTCTTTGACGCCACTTTTCAAATCAAATGGAACAAAGGATGTTATTGAATAATCCACCTAGTGGAGTATCATGTGTCCAAATGTAACGAGGTTTTCGACAGAGATAAGGATGCTGGACTTTGGGCTGTTTCAAAAAGGTGGACATAATTGTCATCTCCTAATTATATGCTCATCATGATTAGCAACACATATATAAATGTACAATTTACATAAACGTAAGCTAGATAAACATGTCTTGAATCTAAAAATCTAAATTTAATAATTCATCATCATTGACGCGGCTTTTATTCAACCGATCCTTTCATTAATGTTGCCATCAATCATCCACGTTTATTTACTCTCGGGAATTCCATAGTTGCTGAGGCAATATTCACTAAAAGCTTTTCATACACGCGTGCGGAATAATATGTTCTCACCACATAGTGACTGTGTAGAATAAACAAAGAATCTACAAATTTACAATGTATATGCTATATGACGAATGTTTTAATCCGGCAATTCTTTCTTAGTCTAAGTATGGTACATTCATTTGATAAATAAAATGTCGGGCTTTAGAGCAAAGTAGGTTTAGCCAATTCGTTCAATTTTGAACTGATATTGTACCATTGCCAAATATATCTAATGACCATAGCAGCTTGAAATCGATCTAAGGTTTGTAATAAATCGTAGCATAAACATCACTCATTAGAATAAAGCTTCTGTGAAAATCTCACCCTGGTACATTGTCATTAAATGAATATTATAAATGCTAACACTTACATGTTCTGAATTTTTGAATATATAGCGAATCTTTTCCTAAACACTTATATAAGCTCTTTCTGTTTTTCCAGGATTATCTGGACGGTTCTCGTTCTTTGGTCCTTGGGGTGGCTAACTTACTTTTTGTACACCAGTGTTGTAAAATACCGGGCGTTCAACGTGAACACACTTTTATCAATGAAGTACACTGATGTTCTGCTTTTCCCAGCCGTGACCGTGTGCAACTACAACAGATACCGGAAATCGTACATACAGGGGACAACTTTTGCTGAATGGCAGCAAACACTATACCACCCTATAAACCTGATACACGGTTCAACCACAATCAACTGGACCACTGATGCTGCCATTGAAGAACTAGCGAAGAACAGGACATATTTAGAACTTTCTGCTGCTCATCAGAAGGAAAGCATGATTTTAGAGTGCAAGCTCGGAAGGGCCAGCTCCGGATGCAATGCGGTAGATAACTTCACAACCACTTTAACCGACTATGGAGTGTGTTACACTTATAACAATGCCCTTTCTAATCATATGTTGGTTACAGAGAGTGGTAGCCGACATGGGCTTTCACTTACTCTTAATCTCGAACAGGAAGAGTACACATATGGACAAAACTACGGAGCTGGCTTCAAAGTAAGTACCGACAGCATTAGAAGTTCAATTTATACGCAAAACATCCACACACTTTTCTCTGAACACTAGCCAAATTTGCGCCAAATAAAATCATTGTTTAACGTGTAGGAATGGATCAATACTTTTACCGATATCGCATCGGAAAACAATATTCCCTCTTGGGTATTATAGGTGAATGACATATATGCTATTTCTGTAACAGTTAAGTCGCATCCGAAGTGGCCACAAATAGCCGACTATCAATAGTTTCGTCATGTGACTTTTGAAATCTATTTTGCATTGTTATGTCACCTGACTTGTCATTTTACTACGAAGTTTTGCTCGTCTATAATACTGAATTATTTTGATATAATTAACAACTCGTATGACATTGGCATTTTTGTTTCCTTTTGTAATTGTAACACCGCACTCGTCGCCACTACTGGTTCGTGGTGGATTTATGTAAGAAGTTATTATAACTAAAACTTTATGTATATATTTTGGTTTAACTTCTGACGAACATTACTAGTACATATACACTTTGCTAAAAAAAGGAATAATATACATGTTAAAACAAATATTCAACACTAACGCTGGTTTATTGTCATAGTAATGAATATAACACACCCCAGCCATGCACACATCATACTCAAGTGTTTTGATTATTAAACAGATTATTAAGTCGGGAAAGATACCTAAAAACGGATTTAATATTGCCCTAATTAGATTGATATCCGATACAAACTATCCAATGTTTTGATTCTGTGTACACATCTGACATGTGTTGTTTTTGTTGGTTTTATTGGTATTGGTCGTTATCGTTATCGTTACCTCAACTTGCAGATCCTTGTGCATTTTCCTGGGGATGTACCTCTAGTTACGGACTTCGGAACGGCCGTGTCCCCTGGTACAGAAGTATTTATGCCTGTTCGTTTAGTTGTGGTATGTACTGACATGCAAACATAAGTTGATCTTAAAGCATACGCTGATACATAATCATCGTAACAAAACATAATTGAGAGCGGACAAAACCAATATTGTCAACAAAGTGAATCACAGCAACTGTTTATTTTTTTTTTCAACTTAGGAAAAAAACAAGGAGAGTCCTTACAGAACTAATTGTACCAACGTCAGCCTTGAATACTATGCCCATTATACAAAAAGTAACTGCATCATGGAAAAAGTTACGCAAATGGTTGTATCAAAATGTGGTTGTCGTGAACCATATATGCCAGGTGAATATATGATGTTACGAGACCTCATTGGCTCAAAAGCAGATGAACGGGCAATTATTTGGCGTGATGCAATCCTCATGCAGCTCGTACGCTCACTCGTAGGTTTTATTTTAATAGTGCTGCTACCTAAAAAAAGCAACAAAGAATTGTAAGGAATAGCAATTTAAATTGGAGGCAATCGCATTGTTACTGTGCCATTATGAGAGACAATCTCATCCTTGAAAACATAAGGCCAATCAGTTTTTTTAACTTGGAAAAGGAATACTAAATTACTGTTCAGATAGGTTTCTTGTCGCCTCGCCAATATTTGAAAGAAAATGAGAAAGTGTAATACAATATATCATCTATATCATTTCGCACCACCAGGCCATAGTGTGACATATAATTAAAGTAGTTATTAGTGACAACGCAATGGTCATTGGTACGTCACGTTAAATAATACATATTGTATTGCTTTCAAGATTGTAGTATTATATTTATTGCATTATAGAATTGTGTGTTAAGCCTGTGTAACTTATATATATTATATACTATTTCTTTTAAGGCAATGTGCGAGTTTGTAATTATCAAGAAAAGGAAGAATGTGTACAAAGTAGGAAATAATCACTTGTCTCTTTTGATATCAGATAAAATGTAATCTTGATTTAGTTAGTCGCTTGATCAATTTCTCCCGACATTACTTACATAGGACTCAAATCTTAATTAAATCTTGGCATCAATGGAGACTTTATTTACCGAATTTACAACAAGGTTGTACCCAGCCTGTAATGCGCTCAGGCAAACTCAATACATTACATCAATATGAACTAGGTTACTAGTGCAATACTATTAACATAACTAATCGATTGATAACATAACGAGAGTATCTTCTTTAGTTGCAGTTAATGCGGCAAACTGTCCAACTGCCTGTGATATAGAGACATTTCAAACATCTTCGAGTTTTGCAACGTATCCTAGCTATCATATGAATGACTATTTGGAGCAAACATACAATATGACAATCGCAAACATCAGGTGAGTAAATAATTCAAATAAAATTCAATTTATAATAAATTGGAACTAAATTATAACTACCTAAATTTAAATTGAATTGAAATCGATCATTGAACAAATTGTTTTAGGGTTAATTAAACCGACTGCAATGAAGCAACTCCAATTTCTATAACGACAGAAAATTATTATAGACCAGGTCGTCAGCGGAATTGCAGTTAATACATCAATATATAACACAATTATAACATAATTGTCTTTTGGTCTCTTTAGAGAAAACGTTGCAGTTTTGCATGTATTTTATGAAGAGTTAAGCTTTATGTCAATTGAACAGAGCGCTGCATATAATGGCATGGATTTTTTAGGTTGGTATTTTATATTCGGTCTGTATAGTATATATATATATATATATAAATAAATAAATAAATAAATAAATAAATAAATAAATAAATAAATAAATAAATAAATAAATAAATAAATACAATTATTAATTTGCAAAAATATAATGTACTTTTGCATCATATACTTGGGTAACAAGCAATTTCTCGTTCCGTAACAAGAGCATTTTCTATTTTATTTTCAGCTGACTTTGGAGGGCAGATGGGACTCTGCGTTGGAGCAAGCCTTCTGACTGTATGCGAAGCATTTGAATTCGTGTTTATCGGAATATGGAAAAGACTTTGCCGTTGATACTGGAGATTATTACAATATTCCTGTAAATGTCAGTCTTCAAGTGATAGAGCGTGTCTGCGGCATCAAAACGTACATAGGTCAAATAAATGCTGCATAAATTAGCAACTGCGTCTGTTTGTGGCATTCCCGTAATGTGAGAGTATACATCAAACTTCTTGAACGCAATTTTGAATGCATTTTACTATTTGTCTTATATAATTCTTCGCACCTTTTAAAAGCCACGTAGAGAAATTTACTAATAATACGAGGGAACTAGGGATTATGTGATATTAGAATTGAATTTAATCACACTGATAGAGAATACGTGGAAAGCAACAAAAATATATCTAACAGCGAAATCGACATAGTGAGTCCACGTAAGTAAGGAAATTATATTCATCGTCAACATACTCATTACTCTCTCGTGATAACTTATATATCAATATTGAAATTAAGCGGTGATAATACTAAATGTCATATTGATATATTCGTATAAATACTTTTCGATATTCAATACTGTTTAATTTATGAGTCTACTAATATTACTTTAGCATTGCATATCTGTATCATCGCAACTTTGTTTGAACTGAAGTAAAACAGTTCTTGATTTCATGTATCTTCGATTAACCGACATTCTGCAATAAATGAGACTGCGATGAGGTAATACATTACATGTTGTTTGAAAGAAGATTGAATGTAAATAATTGTCCTTATCTTTTTATGTTGAATGTATTTCAGTAATGTAACCCCTATTTTGTAGCGATACTCATCTCAAAATTATTTACAATTTATTGCAATAATTATTATTGTTACAAATATTATTATTACAACTAATATGCTTTTTATTACTTTTATATTTTTCAAACAATTGTAATTATTAAGCTTATACCCCTCTACTAAATTATTATTAATTATTATTATTATTATTATCTTATGAACATATTTTTGTTTTTATTGTGAAAGTAAACGTATACCTTTAATGTACAGCTTCTGAATATTTTGGTGCTTTGTTGTACTCAGCACAAACCGAATAGTTGTTGTTAATGCCAATATATTTTCACGATCGATTGGATATTTACTTGTACCTTTCCCAGGATAAACGTAGCAATACAGTTTTAATCCTGCTTTGAATTCATAAATAAATTCTACAATATGGGGCCATTATATTTAGCGATTCCTGAATTAAGTCATGCGGGCTATTTTTTTAGTGTTTCATGTAATAATATAATGGAGGACAATGTAATATTTTTCTCACAAAAGCACGTGTACCTGCAAAATGTGAATGACCTAGCTATTTCATCTGTATTTATATAACGAAGGTCTAATAAATGGTACGGAGAAAACTGACTAATATTCCCGGTCACATAAAAAATACGTTTCTCAAATTTGAATTCCTTAGCTATGTCCTTCATGTGTTCAGTTCTCTTTAATGAAGAGAAGACTGTTTATATGCTTTTCCAATCTCGCATTAGAATAATAAATCCAGTGTCCATTCTTTTAAATGGTAGAATTCTTAAGTATGTTGACGTGTACAAATATTTGGGTCATTTAATAACCTCTGATCTGTGTTATGTTAGGCGCAATGTTATTATTCGTGATTTTAAGTTTGCATCATTGCCTGTTAAGTGTAATTGTTTCCCTTGTTTTTGTGATGTTCTATATTGTTCTTATTTATGGTGTAATTTCACCATAAGTTTTTCGACAATTGTATGTTTTCAACACTCTTATGTTCAGAGCAATAGTTTGATGTTTGTTGGGTTATCTCTTTTAACGTTTGACGAAATTGTTAGGAAAAAGTGCTTTAGTTTTCTTTCACGTTTGCACTTGTCTGAGAATGATAATAATAATAATAATAATAATAATAATAATAATAATAATAATAATAATAATAATAATAATAATAATATAGAACTGTGCTTTCTTCCTGTGCAAAAACGTATGTAACACACGTACGTTGTGACAACACACATCCTGCAACTTGGCTACAAGAACACACATAAATCACGCCCGATTTGCAGTATTAATCGTATAATATGCGGCAACTCAATCGCTAACGGCAGACAGCTGCCTTTTAGACCGTTAGTTAACAGACCATTACCTACCGTTATCAAGATCGTAGCCGAACTTGTAACTATCAGTTATAAGTGGTTTATAGTGTTATAATCGTTTCAATATTTATATAGTGTAACGTATGGCAATGGTATAGTTCACATTACTATGTTGCTAGTAGTATTTCGTCGTAATCGCATTAAGCAATGAATACAAACTAGTGCATAAGGACATAATATAACGTTGTACTTCGTATACACAGTAATGTATAGAACACATACAAAATGATAATTATAATCTACTTAGCCCAGTATCCAAATAGCTGGGGGGGGGCAATACATATAACTAATGGGGACGTGTCCCTAAAATGGGTCTCGTTTTGGGGATTTTAGGTATAAGTATCGGCCTTACTTCTGGTCAAGATAGGTACAAATATCGGTATAAATATCGGTAATATTTTTTACGATTTGGTATACTTGCTCAACTCCAAGTTTCTGATAGCGGAGCCCTAAGGAGATCAAAGAGAAAGCATTTAACAACCTAAATATCCAGAACATTGTGTTAATAATATGCTCTTATGTGAGTGACAGAGATGTTTCTATGGTTAAAATACATATTTAATAAATCAGTATACAATGCAACTGTTGGCTTACATGTTCTTCTATTGGAGATGCTCTTCTAATATAGCAAATACGGTAACTGTTTTATTTGGAATAAGCAGTGATGCCAGAAATTGTACTTTGGTATAAATATGGGTATAGATTTTGATACTATCCATGTATAAAAATGGTCACACTTTTGAACACTCAGGGGCACCTCCCTACACAGCTATGTATCATTTATGCCCTCCCCCGGCCAAATAGTATAATCACATTGATAAATGTGTCACTCAGAAAACCCCCATCACCCGATCACGTAAGTAATTGTATTCAGATAATTCATCCAGCGCTTTGAAAGAAGATACATATCTCCAGAGCTGATTTACAACAATCGCGGTCGATAGAGACGACGACAAATAAAATAGTGAAGGACTCGTCCACAGAGAATATAGTCACCTTGAAATTAAAATTATTTCGTACGTGGCCTTATTTTAAACTACATTATAAGGTTTTTTGCGAGAATACCTCAAAATATGCATAAAGACAGTACAGCTGGAGTATCGACCGACGCGCAGCGAACTTCTTTGTGTGGAATCTGGTCAAACTCTAGTGGCAGCCATGTTTGTTTTTATTATTAGAGGACACTACTGCAAAATTACGACACGCTGTTACGGTGACAGATGTAGAATAATATATTATAATAAAACTTTCGACTTATGTACGTCAGTCAATATAACGTATGAATGAAACGTTGCTTGTGAAATATACTACCATATATTGTCTTCCAAAATAAGATTAGTATTTTTAAAATGGTTTGAAAATTAATATTGACTGAAAAAAAAATCCCGGAACTGCAAGTGGAACTATGTCCTGGTGTTATACTTTGAACATAATGCAATGCAAATAGTATATTTTAATAGTATGTATCAAAACCGTTCGCCAACACAAAAAGGCAATTCGCAATGTACGTTAATAAAACAACGACGCGCTCAAACTAAATATTGATACCTTCGATTATGTTTCACATATATGTACTTGCCTTTGTTATAATCAAACATTTACCTTTCCAGAGTGCTGTCAGGTATTTATAGAGTTAAATTAATGTATTATAACTGGTGGCCAGTTTTGAACGATTGTGTTTATATTAAACATCGCAAATACTATTTAGTAAAGAGTATAACCCAGAAAGCCCCTACGAAATGCGATATCGATTCGAATGAGACGTATGCCGAGTGATTATTCTTCTCTTCCAATTATATTATTCATCATAAACATTTACTTGTCACACGGGATTACAATGTAATAAAACCATATCGTCAATTGTGTTGCTCCCGTGGTTCTTGCACAATAATGCACACGGAACAATTTACATGAATAACCTAAAGTAGGAGTCTCATAAATATGACATTTAACTTAAAATAAAAGAGATATACAGATATCTATGTGGGTGATCGTATTAATTTCATGACCAAATCCTTTGTACAGAGGAATTATAATCACGAATGCTATTTTGATATTGTTCATTTCTGAATATGAGATTGCTGGAAAGTGGTAATATGCATTCAATCGTTTCGTTGTTATTATTAGAAACTTATTATTTAAGACGTTCACAGCGCCAGGCTATATACATGTCATAGACCCTACCATATGTTTTATTCAGTAAAGCGGAATCTAATCTTCTTATTATGTTAAAAAGTAGCCACTGTGTTAGGCGCATGATTCGTAGGTATTTAGAGCAGAAATTCTGCACTAGGCGATCTTTCTACGCTGGCGATGGTAATAACAGTTATCTGTTAATTTTAAATTTTTCAGTTAAATAATTTATTTTGTTCTGAGTGAAGCCCTACATATACATTCTAGCGTACATAATAAGGCGACTACTACAGCTGTATTTTCCGCAAAAAGTAGTTTTTAATAATTTTTGGGCAGTTTGCTTTGTCTTTGTAAATCATTCATTGTTGTATATCACGCATGTGCATTACGCCATAAGTGCATTTTCAACATCATTTATAACGCATTCTTTCAAAAAAAATCGTACACCCTTTTTAATCGTTAAAAATAATAAAATCAAAATGTTCAACAGTGCGGGAACTTTATGGTTTCTAGGAAATGTTGAGTTGCGTCGCACATTATTTGGTATTTGCAGATGTGTAAACATGTAAATTCAGTATAAACCATCGCTGGTATTTTGTTTTCAACAAAAAGTGCATATAACAAATAGTGGGAATGTAAAGCCTTTGAGAGATGAAGTTACCGTCACAAAAACTAGACTTGCTTAAAAGTATGTTGTATTTTTCGGAAATAAAAAAGAGATAAACATGTTAGGAAACGAATTAGTGCAGTCAAAATAAGGGAGTGATGGTAGAAAATGGCAAACGAGCGTCCCGTGCGAAGGTTAGGTAAGTAATAATATTTATGAGATGTAAATTTGCATATGACGTGGCCTGGTAGATAGAACGGTGCACGCATGATCGATCACTCGTACTTTGCTGTAACCCCAACAGGCTATCGCCTATAGTCACATGTTCTGAGTATCACAGGCGTTCGAATGCAAACACAATATTACAGTCATCCCATAATATTACAGATACTTGAACTATATTTTGGAAGCGATGTAATCGTAGTCTCATGATTTAAATAAATAAATAAATAAATAAATAAATAAATAAATAAATAAATAAATTAATTAATTAATTAATTAATTAATAAATAAGTAAATAAATAAATAAATAAATAAATAAATAAATAAATAAATAAATAAATAAATAAATAAATAAATAAATAAATAAATAAATAAATATGGCAATCACAGATTGGCACTGAGTTATGATGCTCGAATACAAACCAACATTCTGACTTCCGAGGCCTGACTTATGATTGGTTGAATATGAACTTTTGTTCTCACATGATCCATCCTGCCCATTGACTACAATATCCGTTGGTCTAATGATGGCGCTTCATAGAAACACACGTCTTTAGTTCGCTTTCACTTTGTTTTATTTCACAGACTAATCGGATTGACACACTCAGAAAACGTAATTGTAATGGATTTTTTTTTTGACAAGCTTGATTAATCATTTTCAGAAGAAACCTTGGTCGTTGCGACTCATCATGTGTATATAGGTCCCATGCAAATACACTGTTTATAATGTATGCTGTGTGACGACCAGCGCTTTTTAAAACTTAAAGTTTAGTTTAAATATCACTTATCATCCAATGCAATAGCGCATAATATCAAATTGGTTACTAGTAGGTAGATGTTTTTGATTTATATGCCATGGATGGGGTTTTGGAGAATCGAATGCCGGCACCATCACTATATTTCTCATGACTCTGCGTATTTTGGGTTTTCTTATTTCCTACGCATTTCAATCTCAATTCGATGCTATCAATTACCCCCTCGCAGCATGTAAGCGTGAGGGCAAATTATTATTGACAGGCTTTCATGCATTTTAGGGTATGACGTGAAGCAACATGTTAATCACACGAACAGCTTACTTAACTGGACAATAAATAATACCGACTCGGAGGCCACACTGGTAATATAGCACGTTGCCATTGTACACGACCGTTTTATTGGGTGTGTAACGGGTTTGCTTATTCAATAACGATGAAATCACCTAGCAATGCTGATATTATTCGGAACGTTAACAGAAGGAGACCGACTCCGACATCCACCTCCTTCGACATGAGTAATACAGAGAAATTTACATCAACATCATCATTGTCACTAGACGGTGGGAATGTCAGACGTCGGGGAGCCGTTTATATATTTTCTCGAAATTTCCGGCAATTCCTGTCCGAGACAACGCTGCACGGAGCACGCTACACAGCCAACAACGAATACCATGTGGTTCGCCGGTAAGTTGTATTATATAATATATGTACGCAGATGGAATGATTTATACATTTGTGTTTAACTTTAATATTTTATTTCCAGATGAGATTACGCTATATATATTATTACGAAATAATATATATCATTCATAATAATTAACTACGTATTTGCTACTTCTATGTTAATGATTAATTATTTTCCAACGCTCATAACTCGTTTTCTGTACAGTTATGGGACTGAGGTGATAGTATATCGTGTCGACAACGAATACTGTCAATAATGCTTGTTTGTGATTCGGATGAAACCCTATTGTATTGACACATTTTTTTGTTCACATATATTACATATATTACTCGTTTGAGAAACTATATTGAAGATGAGATGTACTTTAGCTTAGACACTTTTTAATTAAAATTAACACTTAGTTTTAAAGTTCATTTACACAGAGACATGTGTTAAATTAATAAGGGCTTTAAACACGTATGTCGTCTATATAAAGTATGTCCCAGTTCACTATACATAATGACTAATGAAATTCGGTCTAGAAAATAACAAAAAAAAATAACAGTAATTCTGACAAAGGATGGATGTTTATGGAAATTATTTTTTATCCAGCAAGATATTCAGTTCAATTTCCAATTTCCCTTTATTTTGAGATTTTAAAATATCCGTTACATTGTTTTACTTTTTAGAACGGTATCTGCATATTTTTATATGTTGCACAGAAATAACCATGAATGCAAAACACACACAAAATTGATTCGAGCAAAAATATCTTATGTGATTGATTTTTGCACCAATGACAATGAATACAAACTTATAGAACGTACAGATTAAATGTAATCAGGAAATGTTTATTGTCATCGACTGTTTAAAAACAATCAAATATTTGTACATGCGTCTAACATAAACAAATCGAAGATATCTAATTACTTGTGTAAGTGAGTTATTGTTTCAACATACATGTTATTATTTTGACATACAGTTATATTGTTCACATACGATGTTTTCCAATCATCTGTAGCCTATTTATCAATTAGAGCATGGAATTGTGAATACTACTGAAAGCTTTAAGTCCCCTTCTTTCTAGTTTTGTTCACATGATGAATCATGCTGTATGACTTACTATATGCTAAGTTATATGATAATTTAGTTGTTTGGTTTCATAGCGTAGTTTTCATTTGAATATATATTTTATTTCAGTGTTCATATTCATACCAAACACTGACAATGCTGTATAAATCAGGAAAATTTGTTAGGAAAGAAACTTTACAGAAAACCCAATCGTCTTTCAACAAATACATAATTTTGTGCAAATTACGATCGCCGCAACATCGGCAGTATGCTAATTCCCTGTATTTTAAGTGTTTACCGAGACACGCACTCTAACAAAAGAACCGAGAGAGTTTCCTAACCGTTCTTCCAGTAAGCATGGATAAAACAGATTATTTCCATCACCAATTTTCCATCAAGGTATATTTCACTAACTCCTTCTTTAAGATCACAGCTCCTAGACGTGTTATAAAAAAACAATCCATCAATTTTGAAGCAAGGTTACTCATATTATTAGTTAAAACCTGAATTTGGTATAAAATATGATCTTTCACACAAAGACGGTATTCTGAATTACACAACTTGTCAAGATCACGTTATGTTGCTTGACATTTATTAGTGTTTTCTCTGCGCCTTTGTGATAGGAAAGTTAAATAGATAGGATATTCGGACACCTGATTCCACTCCAGAGACGTCATGTCAGTCATAATTGGTGCTCTCTCTTTGTTTAGGTAAATAATATCTCGGCACAGGCTCTTAGCAATTACTTTTTTGTATGTTCCAGAGTAATCGGTTCATTTTAACGAATTAATTAATAATTAACACCGCTTCTACGTTCACAGTAGTAAGCATGAACGGCCTTCGAACCTTTCTATTTCGTTACAACACGTACAAACTTCAATGGTATCTAATATACAAATAACGCATAGTTTTATAAATTAACCAATAATGTATGGTCAAGTAAACGATTGGTGAACCAAAATTCTACTCTTGAAATATGTATTTATTTCTTGCCACAAATCTTTATTGAACGAATGTAAATGATGAAATGTGCCCAACATGAACAGTTAAATATATTTAACCATATTGGAACTATGTTGAGTAATAACAGCTATACATTGCAGATGAGTGATTACGTCATTGTGGATCTCATATTTTGTACGTTTAAGAAACTCAACATTGTTTTACTAAGAATGACGATGAAACCGTTTTATTTCTTTTTTCAACCTTCTCATGCACATTTCATGTTCTCTGTCTGTTCTCCAAAATATTCCTGAAAGATGATGTAATATGATATTCTATGAGAAATAAATGTGGTCATACTTTTGAAAACAACAAATATCATGGTTGTCTACTTAAAAACCAAAAGGACTTATATCTTTTTCTTCTTTATTGACCAAAGAAATGTGCGCAATAAACTATAATGAACAAATTAAATATCTAATGTCAACAACACAGTAAGCACTTTTATGCTAGATTTTGTTCAAATAAGTCCTATTCATTGTGAACATCTGAAGTGAATTCTGCTAAACATTTGTATTTCATAATCTTTGTAACTTAAATGGTGTCTGAAAATAGTGTTTGAAATGTTTGAATGATCTTATGAGAAAGCCTATTTAAGGCAGCGAGACTATTATAGGTATTGAAAATTATGATTTTCACATTTATTTATTAATTGATGACATGCACTATAAATCTTCATCTGATAAAGTCAACATAACATATAATGTCATGTAAGTTGGTTAAAATGTAGATTTTCTGAAGGGAAGCAAGGCAGCCTCAGTAGTGTTTTCCAAAATCATTTTTAATCTGTGTGCTTATAAGTTTCAAAGATTAACTCAAGAGAAAGCTATGTCTCCGCCCCTGTTTGTTACACAGATTAGTCATTTGCGTATAAATGTGCCAGACACAATGTCACACAGCCACTGAGAAAAATCATTGATTTTGGTGTTCTCATCTACCTATTTTATCGAAATATAGCTATCATATTCCTTTTTTTTTTTTTTGGTTTCCAATAAAACAGACCTTGAAGAAAAATCAAATCGATTGTGCCGATAAACAAGCACAGTTTATTTTTTCAAAATACAAGGTCTTTAAAAAAGAATAACGTATACTTATTGTCGTCGGATTAACTTTAAGGTAACAAGAACTTAAATGTGTCCAGACAATGTTAATTATTTACCAACGTGTTGTGGGTTGAGTTGGGGAAATGTAACTAAAACGGAAATTAAAATTCAGCACACTACATTTTAGAACGCATTGCTTGAAGAAAACTAACAAGACACATTCAATATACCGGATTATTGGACAACTAGGAAAAGTGAATAAAAAAATCTTATCGTCAGCATAAATGCATCATTATTTTTTTACAGAAAAAGGAATTTTTAACCATTGATTGAGTAACGCGTCGTGGAATGCGGATGCGGTCATGAAAAATACACTTTTTAAAAGCTCGAAGTCTGGCGATTCAAAACAAAATATACTTTCCTTGATTTTTTTGTTGTCATTGAGTCACAATTAGGAGATGAAAACAAGCATGTAAATAATAGTCTCGCTACCTTAAGGAAATACAACATAAGCCGTTCTTCAAGTACAAATACTTATTCACTTTATCTACCTTGTGTGAGCAATGTAAAAGATTCTCAGCAGCTATATTACGAAATATCCATGCAACTTGATATATACGCACATTACATTATCACAGTGTGATACGTACAATGCACATTCACTGGCTTTCACATAAAGCCATGGTATACACTGTACCCATTAAACTTTACCGATATTTAACATCATTTCTATTTTGTTCGGCCCAAAGCGTTTTTTCACGTTTTAGAGCTATATTTGAGGCAATTCTTCCGACCTGGAGTTACAATGAATTTAAATGCATGTACGATGCTCTTTGTTTGGAGGCGGAAATTGTGTGCCGCCGAATATTACGTTTTATTAAGTGTCGTTGGTTCTGAATACTATTGTGAAAGAAAGTAATCAGTCTTCAATAATAAATGCAATGTTATTAAAAAACGTACTGATTGATCTTCTTGTCGCGAAGAAAACTAAATGAAATTTCCAGACAACTAAATAAAATGTGGTCACCTTTGTATTAACTGTATCTCCTTCGTTTCACAGCCTTTATATAATTTAATTCTGATTAATGTCAATTCATTCTTGGAGCCATGTGACATTCGGTGCCTTAAATGTTATAAGAAACTGTAATATCACATATATTTTGACATGACATATATTATATGTAGTAATATATTCACAGGTTTTTTTGGTGCGTATTGGTAATTGGAGTTAGTATAGGACTTATAATAATTCTTTGGGGAGAAGTTTCAAACTATTTTCAATATCCAACGAACTCGTTAATATCAATACACTACACGTCAAAGCTGAATTTCCCCGCCATCACCCTCTGCAACTACAATAGAAATCGGAAGTCCGTGATTGGCGGGACACCAGTAGATGCACTGATGACGCAGTTGTATTCGTCTGCTAGATTGGATGTAAAGTATAACATCAATTTCGATTGGTCGCTATTGGAAAATACGACGGCCATCTTGAACCGCACACAATTTGAGCTCGAGGCAGCCCACCAAAAGGAGTCATTTATTGTGGCGTGCAATTACCAGGGCGATGGTGTAGAGAGATTGTGTGGACCGAACAATTTTACAACAACGTTTACAGAATTTGGTGTGTGTTATACGTTCAATAACGACCCGGAAAACCAGCTGTTTGTGACGAAGTTCGGTTCGAACAGCGGTCTTCGCGTTCGGTTATTCACGGACGAAAATGAGTATACATTTGGGAAGCAGACTGGTAGTGGATTCAAGGTAAGATGCACAACCCGTCTAATTCTAAATAGGGTTTTGTAGTGAATAGATATACTCTATATACTTTGAGTACTGATATGTTTCAGTTTAAGGGCAAAATAGTTGTCTTCCTATTTTTATACCTATCACACCTGAAAGGTTTGTGACATTGTTACAAACTCATTAAATGATCTGAATATTGCCTGGATACTACTGATTTGGGTGCTTGAACATTAAAACAAACTAATTTAAAGTACTAGTCAAGGTCCATATATTCTGCTACGACTGATTAGTCAAAAGGCATGAGCACTGCTTAAAATAATTAAATCGTTCTGAATAACACACGGAAACTTCCAAGCCAAATGTAATCATGTAATAAAGTAAAAAAAGATCTGGGACACTGCTATAAGACGTATAGAAGCATTGCCCAAAATGATTGTACACGTTAGTTTTTCACTGAAAATATCTGCAACTCAGTTTTGGTTGTATTCGAGCATTTTTTTCTCCATAATTGAGATAATTGTAGCAGACAAAATTCAATTTACAGAAATATTAATACTTTGATTAAGCCTGTGTTAATTTGAATCGGCATAAGTTGGTGTTAACAGTCACATATGTTGCAAAAATACTGTTTACAGTCCATAATCGTTAAATGGCGAAGAATCGTTTATTTTATGACAATCAGTCATATTCAAATGACTAACTGACAACAAATACATGCCGTCAATGATTTAAACGAATAGAACGTGAATTATTTTTGTTCAATTTCTGTGCTTGGTGATTCTCTCCTTTTGACAGTTTTACTTAACGCACGAGTCTCGTAATCATAAACTAAATCGCATTTTATGACTATTTGAGGCTTTTAATGTTTAATTGACATTTAATAATGAATCCGTTAAACGTTAAAGAAGCATTTTCTGCATCGTCGGTGACTATCAATAACTTTGTACTGTTTATTTGATGACAAAATTGCCCCATTTTTACCTTTTCTGTCATACTTCATTACATGTATAATTTGTGGTGACATCGCGATCAAAGACTGGTGATTATTATCGTTTTGATTAGCCTTTAAAGCACATGCATGATATGCACTGATACATAATACAATGTACCATAACAAATTTCCATGTAAAATGAAGATGACATAAGACAGGTATATTGTGTATGGAAAACGAGTAACAAATGGTTACTAAATGTATCTGATTGAAATCCTCGTCGTAATAGTTTAGTGTGTCTCTCTCTGCTTATGATTTTATTATAAAAATTGAGGTTTAACACAGTTAATTTTTCTGGGATGGGTGAAGACGCCAACGCTTCCATGAGTATTCTTTTTGTCAGAATATTCAACTTCAGCCTAATTTCAGGAATTCAGAAATTCATATTCAAAACTGTTGACAAAATAATTCAAACTGCCCGTTTAAATATCCACTGTCGAATATATAATATTTTTTGTTCTCTTCTATCCTTCCAAACTCAAACTGTAATTGGAAAGTAGTAAACAATAAATCTGTATTGGATGTGCCATATTTACAACATTTGTATTCATTTTCTCGATAGCGATTCGACAATTTTACGAAGAATCTTGGACGATATTTTGCTTCTAGAGAAATTATATTTTGGCGAGGGACTGATCATCCCGGAACTCAGTTCTGCCTGTGTCAAATATAGAAAACGTAAAAAGACACGCCAATAGCTCAAAACCTTGAGTGTATTGCATCGTATATCCATATTTGAGAGTGTGTTTTATTGGATTATTTGTATTTCAGACGAACATGCTTGACAACATAACAATCAAATAATACAACCTGCAAACATATTTCAAGAAGCAACACGTAATCTTAAACAAAATAACGAATACTAATATATCGACTTCTATAGTGTTTTGTATTCAATAGTTTTCTATTTATTAAATATATTTGTATGAATTAGGTTCCCAAGTACACAAGCTGATTTAACTATTGGCGCACACGTCATTTGCATTGTTTTGTTATTTAGTATTCTTCTTGTCCTGTTGACAGTTCTATGTTTGTATGTATTTCCCTACGCGAGTTTTGATCATTGGATGTTATTACCACTTCTGCGTTTTGAGATTTTGAAACTAATATTATTTGATGTTGCATTTTTTAGCAAAAGAGTATGATATATTTTTATTGATCGTATTCTTTTGATGAAAGGCTAAAATTTCAACTCCCGTCACCAGAAGTACATTGACATTCAGATCCCTTTTATTGTATTGAGCAACTATTATATTGCCTAACGTCGAGGTCACTAATTGCATTTGTTCGCAATATCACCATAAATTTATTCCTATAGGTTCTTTTATATTCTCCTGGTGATGTTCCATTAGTCCAGCAGCTTGGCTTTGCTGTACCGACGGGTGTAGACGCCCTAGTCGCTATTCGCTTAGAAAAGGTGAGTGTACCCAGCGCCTATGCTTCATTCAATATAGTGTCGCTTTTAAGCTTATTAAAAAAGAATAACGTTATTTTATTTTCAAAAAAAATCTCAGCTTGTTTGGAACTGTAATAATTGCTCTCAATTGTATCTCGCCGTACAATCCATATATATTCTCTGGTTCTGTGATTGATTCCTGATTGGGTGCTTGTTTCGTAGCCTACATATTTTTGACTGAACAACGTTATCGTGCAATATATATAATTTAAAAATCCGTTTATTGTGGTATATACTGTTGTGTTCTTTTAGACGTGTAGTTTTACATGTCGGGTTATGCTAAATATTTTAGTTGAATAAATTCACAAAAGTGGCAAGAGTTATAGTTCATGTGTTGTATCGTAGTGTTCGTTTGTTTAAGTACATGTTTATCATTCGATATATCGGTGTGTTCACCTATTTATTTGAAAGCTATTTTATTAACGAGTTTTTATATCGATTTGTTCACTACTAGTCGATAAACCTTCCTCCTCCCTTTCCAACAAAATGCTCGAATGCACCATTGAAGTACTACGACGGTAATTACACATATGTCTGGTGTGCACTGGAGAAAATTACAGACTTCGTTGTCAGCGCATGTGGCTGCAGAGAGCCGTACATGCCTGGTAAGTGAATACGTAGAACAGATAAATCTTACAGATCACACAACTACAACTCAAAGAAAAAAACATGTGGTAGTGATGCCTCATCATATCAGTCACTCGCACTTTACACGTTATATTTTTATACTCATATTTCTGGTGCAGTAAACTGTGCTTTCTCGGAATAATCTAATCTCAAAAAAGCAAAATTATATATTTTTAAAATCGATTCAATATCTACATTGCGGGGACAAATAAACCATTTATCTTGAACTGAAACTAGCATAGTACATTTTTTAACTACTAAAGAATATGTACCGTAACAAAATCAATTATCTCACAAGCAATTGCAAATATGTAATTTTTATGTAGGATCGAAGAGAGTTTGCAATCTGAAAGAGTCTATAGTGTGTGTTATCCCCGTCATGGACGGTGAGTAAATCGTAGAACATATCAGAATAAGTAGAATAAGTGTCTAAATCATGGATCCTCTCAGAATTTTGTTGTTCGTATTCTGTCATTGATATCATGTTAATTATATACTGATACAATCTGTGATTCTTCGGTAATTCAATCTGTACATTTTGATATATGTGCGTCGTAGATGGAGGTATTTGTTCACAAAGTGGTATTGTCTACTGTTTGAAGTCTTGAGATTATGAAATTGAATATTGTCTGATTATGAATTGTATTCATGTTAATCATCTTACGTTGTAGACTCAACGGAAAGAAGCGTGACTTACTGTGGTGTTGGATGTGATGTCACTCGATTCGATTCCAGAGTAACTTACGCAGATTTTCCGGCCAAACCTATACTTGAGCATATGTCTTCGACCACTAATGAATCATCCGAGTATTTTAGGTAATCAGCTGGTTGTACGAGTTGAGCTTAAATTAAATCTGCGCTTTCAGTAAAAATGCTGAGTCCAAGTAACTTGGTGGTATCTATTTTCTTCTTTGTTACAGACGTAATTATGCAGATATATCATTTTTCGCGGAAGACATGACCTTCAAACTAACTAAAACCGTTCCTGTAATGACAGGCGCTACCTTAGTGAGTAAGTATTGACATTTTAAACGAACCGGAAGTCTTGAGTTTTAAAGTACAGTGCTTTCTTTCACTGGAATTTTGAAAAAAAAAACACGTTAATTTGATTTCAAAATTGGCAAGGTGTATGTATGTAAAATACTATTATTTTATGTGCATTGCGTTTTGTTTACAGGTAATTTTGGTGGATTAATGGGTCTTTGCCTTGGTGCCAGCCTGCTCACTGCCGTTGAGTTCATCGACTTTATATTATTCTGCTTCTGTAAAAGTTAGGAACGAGGAAAATGTTTACTACTGTAGTATAACACGGACAATTATATTCATGCAGCGATTGGAATACCATACATTCATGTGATCATACATTGTCATTAAAAAATCAGCTGAACCTGTATATCTATGCGATTGTGTCACATTATGTAACATTGAAAATCCAACAATCATTAGTTTTAATTGCTTTTACTTTATTAGAATGTTACGTATATCCATTATATTATCTTCTCCTTATGTACAACAAGAATAGAAACAGAAATGTTTTTGCTAAAGTAGATCTGTAAACATCTCTTTCTAAATAAGTTTAAAACAGAGTTGCTAATACTATCAATTGCCATGACAAAAAGTTGTCCTTGTTGTCGTGTGAATTATGTATAAATGTGCACATCTAACGAGTTGGGCATTGAGTTCATCAGACTAGTGTGACTTGGAGAACGGACTTCGAACACAATCATGGTCGAGTGACTTGTGTGAGCCACTGCAGCTACGCGGAGATGCCGTGTGAATATATGCCACATTTACTTTATATATCCGTTACGTGTGCGTTGGAAGACATCATGTAACAATATTCATAAACAATTTAAAATGTGCACCACGTGTATTGAGCAAAATATTCAAAATACGTATACACGACTAAAATCTGCAAATTTCACTGACTTTGAAAAAATTACCGTTCACAATACATTAAAAGATGTATTTAAGTAGATTGATATTGTAATATTTTGTAATACTAATATAAATGTGAATTTGTTGGTATAGACAAGGTATATGAGAAACATTATGTTGTCAGTTTAAAAATGTGTTCAGTAGATGAACTAATAAATGGTTATGCTCTTAACGTAATAACAGCGCCACCACAGAGTTATCAAAGTTGGTACTTGTTGACGCTATTCAATTGGAAAAAAACATTCATGTATTCATCCATTACGCTCATGCAAGGCATTTAATTTTTTCCACATTCCAAATTCACTACATTAAATGCACTTTTATCTTGGGAATGTCATGTTTAACCTTATTAAACGCAATTTATATAGTTCCTACTTCAGGCACCCTGTTGATTTTCTCATGTCTCGGTATGCTTAGTAAGCTGACACACAATCTAAGGTACTAAAAGTTGCGTAAATGGGCAGAGTTGAGGCTAGGTGTCTTCAAATGTTTTACAAGGAAATCACGTGACAAGGGAGTGAAGACAAGAATATTGCAGATATATCTCGATATCTGTTTATTTTTTATGGGGAGCGCAACCGCTCGGAATTTCACCATCAACACCAGAAATACATTCTGGATGTAGCGACTAACTTCTAGCATTCAAGGTGTTTTATCTATCTACGGACACAACAATCCCAACACAGCTACAGTAATTTTACATAAATAAGCGAATAGGCGGCACTCGAAAGTTGAACATTGAAAATTATTTGATAATTGCCCTTTACTTTGTGTTCGAATTGATATTTTATATAAGAGAAGTGCCCCTATATTTGAAACGGAATGGAATGGAAATATCCTGTAGTGCATGTTGACAGAGCTGCATGCCATTTTAGCGAAATTGTCTCAATAAACGAATTAACAGAAACTTAATTTAGCTAAAGTGCTAACAATCCTATTGTGATAATATACTTTATTTTAAATTTGCGAGATCTTGAATTCGCTAAAAATTACTGTTAACTAAATAAGCTAAAATCACATGCAAGCTGACAATACATGTTTAACAGTATTCAAAGGGGATTTGTGCCCTCTGTATTGAACATTTTTATTTGAAAGTTGACAAAGCGCCCTCGTGTGTTGGAACATGTTACAATTTAGCTGTTTCGTCTACGAACCATTCCAAAGTTAGAATTCCTAAAGTGATATTGAAGAACCTTATTTTTAATATTGAAGAACCTTAATGATCTATAATAAAATCGGATACAGTTTGTAGGCTTGAATGAAAAAATGAAACTTTCGTTTACTAATTAATAAAATATATTTGAACTGGGTCAGTGCTGTCGATAACAATGGCCGCATTAATTTCGTTGCGGTTTACTTCAAGATGTTCAACCTTGAATGTCATACTCATAAAAAAGGCTGGTCTGTCTTTCAAAAACAACCCTCCTAATAAAGCTCGAATTTGCTAAGTTGCAAATTCACGAAATTCCAAGGTAACAATAACTAAATATGTCCCAACTCAAACAATGCAGCTTTTTATTGCAGCTAGGTCCAGATATTTCTAAACATTGATGTCAATGATGCCCCTGGCAATTACATTACTATTAATTTGTTTAGTTATCTATAAAGAATCATTTCTAAAATGTTGGTTTTCATAGCAAACAAGATCCATATATCAAACCAAATCAACATGCTTAGTGCTTGTGTGTAAGACCTCTCTCCCTGCAAATTTTATGAGATTCCATTCTAGCATTTAATAAATGAAAACAAATTTCATAGTAACAGGTTCCACACATTCCACAAAATTTGACCAAATAGTCCCCGTGTAGCAACCCATCCTTTAATTATGATAATTTATCAATCAATTTTAAATCATTATTGCTGAAATTAGTGTTGCTGCCATGGCAGCAGTAAACCATCTTTGATTATTATTTTGTAAAAAAAAATACAATATTAGTTCAAAAAAAAAAATCATCTCTAACAAAATGTACATAAAATAAAAACCTCTTCTGAAAATAATATCACGAGAAACCAATCATAACTGTTTAATTTATGTATGGAAATACGTTCCTGGGATGTATGTTTTCGCAAGAATTCTCTATCAATAACTGACTGATGGGTCTTCATGTCAATGAATGAATTTTGACGTTTTGAGTTATACTTGTTGTATTGACTAGAGTTGACACAGCGGTCTCATTTCACAAGCATGGAATTAATATGTAGCAGGCAATGCCTGGCGAGCTTTATTGATTTACTAAAAATAAAACTGACGTAACCATATAGATCGTCGTAAATGTGGAAGTTGAGTTAATAGCTTACGCGCGAGTTGAGCGGAGTTCAAGATGACTACACACACGATTCGTGCGTCGCCGCTGGTTAAATGTCCCGCAATACTATTGAAAATTGTACTATTGTTAGTCTGTTGCTAGTAAACGATTTCCTTGTTATTGAACAACATTCTGGTGAGCATTTATCGTGAATAGTCTTCTCATAATTTGTGAAACAATAAACAAAATGTGGGCGCCCATTGTGCTGAAGTGCACTGTTTTCAAACTCTCAGGGTATATATATATCTTCCACACCTTTTCATATTTGCACTTGTTAACTATAGAGCGGCGGCTTCGGTTGCGCTTTTATAAAGCGGTGTTACTGTCAACATAAACAATAATAGCGCTATTGTTAATACTTTGCTTAAATTTAAGTACTCTTATTGTGTTACATTCCTCATTTATGATGTACTTGCATGGAATAATGAAAGTTCGTTTCGACAAACCACTCGTGTCATATCACTCTTAAGGGGTAGAAATCTTGTATTGTATTCGTTTTTGTTATTGTAATAGTATTGTATGTTTTATAAACATAGGCAAGACAATTGACATCTTGAACATGGCGCTTACTTACCAATAAGATCACTTGTTGATGGTCAGGCAGGTATCATCATTATGCGTTCAGTATACAATTCATGTTAATCAATTTGCTTCAAAGGCACAATAATCCAACAGTGCAAACCTCGTCCACGGAGGCAAATTACTCATCTTTACAGATATATTTATCTTATAGTATGTACCCTTCTTATGATAAAGAAGTGTTATTATATTTACAAAGGCTAAATCCATTAAAGAAATATTAACCATTATATA